GCGCTGCCCGTGGCCCCGGCCCTCGCCTGCCGCCACAGCCGTGCGGCGGGCTCCGGCCCCCGGCGAGAGCTCTCGCTTCGTTCGCGAGCCGGGGCGACCGCTTCTGTGACACATCTCTGACAAGAGATCTCTCCGCGCCTGAGTCACTGCGCGAAGAGACAGCGAGCGGAGAAGGATGCCTGCCTGGCGCGATCGTCGGCCGCATTACAGCGCACACATGAAATATTGATGCACCAGCGCGGCCGGTGCGTTAGGGCCCGTCTGCTCCCGGCTCACGTTGTGCCGAGTTGGGCAGAGGCGAGGCGAGGCGAGGCGAGGCGCCGCGCCCGGGGCCGGCAGCCGCCGTCGCGGGGAGGGAGCTCTATTTTCTCCCCGGGAAGCAGCTCTTGCGGGGGGCGGCGGGGAGATCTTATAAAAGAGTCCACGCAGCTATTGCGCACTTCGTATTAGCCGGGAAAGAGACACTGCGCGAGGCTAAGGTGAAAGCAGGCCACCGGCTCGTGGCTCGCGAGCTCTGCCCTGCGCAGCCCTCGCAGTCCGAGCGCAGGCTGCCACCTTGGCCGCACCCCACAGCCTCCAGCCTCCACGCTCTCCCCGTCTCGTGCGGGAGAGAGCAACACTTAGGAGATCGCAGAAATCGTCTTTTGATTTCTTTTCCATCCACAGTCACAAAGCTCGGGAGGTCACACAATAATGAGCACTCCCAGCAAACACGCGCGCTCCCCCCAGCTCCCTTCTATCTCACAAAATCATCTCCTTCAATTTGCCATGATCGTCGCGACCAGGAGCCAGGTGATTATCCTAATTAATGTCTATCTAATTAAATTACTGTCAGCGGTTAACCAATGGCAGGAGCCGTTTCATCCGCTCCACAAGCAGCAAGATCAAAAGTGAGTCTTTCCTGATTGCTGCATAGTGTCAATTGGCCAATCTCTTCTCCCAGGGAAAAAAAAAAGTAAATCAAACGTTTGGGAAGCATTTGGTGGAAGAAGTGCTTTCTGCTTAGCGAGGGTCCCGCAATGTCTAGTTTCTAGTGTTAAGGAGCCCTTTCAGATCCAGGGACTGAAGGGTTATTCTGTGGTGCTAGAGCTATGCAGCTGGAGCATTGTCTTTCTCCCTCTATCATGCTCTCCAAGAAATTTCTCAATGTGAGCAGCAGTTACCCACATGCAGGCGGATCTGAGCTTGCCTTGCATGATCATCCCATTATCTCGACCACTGACAACCTGGAGAGAAGTTCACCTTTGAAAAAAATTACCAGGGGGATGACGAATCAGTCAGATACAGACAATTTTCCTGACTCCAAGGACACACCAGGGGACGTCCAGAGAAATAAACTCTCTCCCGTCTTGGACGGGGTCTCTGAGCTTCGTCACAGTTTCGATGGATCTGCTGCAGATCGCTATCTGCTCTCTCAGTCCAGCCAGCCCCAGTCCGCTGCCTCTGCTCCTAGTACCATGTTCCCTTACCCCAGCCAGCATGGACCCGCTCACCCAGCCTTTTCTATCGCCAGCCCCAGCCGCTACATGGCTCACCATCCTGTGATCACCAATGGAGCTTACAACAGCCTCCTGTCCAACTCTTCTCCGCAAGGTTACCCAACGGCGGGCTACCCCTACCCCCAGCAGTACGGCCATTCCTACCAAGGCGCGCCTTTCTACCAGTTCTCCTCCACCCAGCCGGGGCTGGTGCCCGGCAAGGCGCAGGTCTACCTGTGCAACAGGCCACTCTGGCTGAAATTTCACCGGCACCAGACAGAGATGATCATCACCAAGCAAGGGAGGTAAGCGGCGCTCTCTGTGGCTGCTGCGTGGAGCCAGCGCTGGCTGGCGGGGCTGGGACGCCGGGCTCCCCCGGCCCGAGCCTGGATGTCGGGGGGACCCGGACCGCAGCCCGCAAGCCCGGGGGAAAGCGGGGGGCTGGCGGCGGGTGCGGGTCTCTGCCCTTCCACCCCGGGGAGGCCCCGCGGCTGCTCCTCCTGCCTTTGTCCTCAGCCCTTCCCTGCAGCTCTGCCGGCTTCCCCTCGGCTACCTGGGGCTCTCGGCTCCCTCGGCCCCGCCGGGTCCCTCCGCGCCCGTGCGCGACTGGGTCTTCCCTTTCCCCTTTCCCTTTCCCCTCTCCGTAGGCGCATGTTCCCTTTCCTAAGTTTCAACATCTCCGGCCTGGATCCCACGGCTCACTACAACATTTTCGTGGATGTCATTCTGGCCGATCCCAACCACTGGAGATTTCAAGGAGGCAAATGGGTTCCTTGCGGCAAGGCGGACACCAATGTGCAAGGCAAGTGCTTCCAATTAACACGTTTCCCGACACATGCGGAGGTGAGAAGGATTAATTAAAGCCTTTGTGGACTGGCTCTGGCGACTTCCTAGCCGGGAGCGGGCCAAGGCTGGCGTGGGGGGAAGGAGGGCAAAGAAAAGGAGAAGGGAGAGAAAGGACCCGCCGGGCAGCAGGTCGGGGCCGCGGCCGATCCGGCCCGGGGAAGCCGGGGTTCGCGGCCCTCCGGGCGGGCGGGAGGCGAGTAGGGCCGGGCCGGGCCGGG